AACAGCAGTAGACTTCTAAAGCTCTGTTCAAGTATGTTCTGACAGTTTCTTGGAAAGTTTTGCTTTGAAACATCGAAACAAACCAAAGCTATGGGAAAGCAGATCTTTTCTGTAATGTGACTGTGGGATACTCCCTTGGGAATCTTCTAGTTGCCCTCCTAGTAATATGATTTGGGCAAATATTTAATAGCTTGTTTCATGGAAAAAAAAAAAAATCAGGGTCAACTGAAACAGAATTCTTTTGTAAGTCATAAAGAGACAAATAGTAGAAACAGCAACAAAAATGATGAGCCTGAAGTGCTTCATGTTACCAAACCCATGGTAGTCCATCTAACCATTTTAAACAAACCAAAATAAATTTTAAAATGAAAAATATTATTCCAACAGAAAAGCTGAGAAGCTTAAGAATATCACAATGAAATGCTTTCAACTGCAGTCATCTTCAATGACACAAAATTACTATCTGTACAGTAAAGCATTTTACCTCTTTGGTTTTTGTTGGCCTATAAGTAAACAAAGTATAAAAGCATCTGTAAGCCATTAATGTGTGATTCACTGTCTCAAGTGAGGAATGCATCTGTAGAAATTATCTATTTTCTATCAAATCTAGCTATGCCAGTGTAAAAGGTTACCTCACTCTCCTTCTAACCCTGTATCCCCAGTGGCTGCTCCCATTCCCATCTACTGTCTGTGGTGTGCATGGGGTTATGTTGAGCAATGCTGCGGGCTTTGCCCCTAGAGAGGTAATGCGAGCTAAAATCTATGGCTCTCCCTTGAACTGAATGAGGAGTGGCCACCCCTAGTAAAGTTCATAAAGTCCTCTGTCAGCAGGGCAGTAGGAACAGTACTTTCTGGCACAAGGGGCAGATATTATCAGCTGGAGAGATGGTCCTTCCCAACAATGTTGGGATTCTGCCCCTGTACTCTGCTCTGGTGAGACCCCACCTGGAGTGCTGCGTCCAGCTGTGGAGCCCCCAACATCAGAAGGATATTGACCACTTGGAGCGAGTCCAGAGGAGGCCACGAAGATGCTCCGAGGGCTGGAGCCCCTCTGCCATGGGGACAGGCTGAGAGAGTTGGGCTTGTTCAGCCTGGAGAAGAGAAGGCTCCGGGGAGACCTTATAGCACCTTCCAGTGCCTGAAGGGGCTACAAGGAAGCTGGGGGGGACTTTTTACAAGGGCCTGTAGTGACAGGACAAGGGGGAACGGGGTTAAATTAGATGTCAGGAAGAAGTTCTTCCCAGAGAGGGGGGGGAGGCACTGGCACAGGTTGCCCAGAGAAGCTGTGGATGCCCCATCCCTGGAAGTGTTCCAGGCCAGGCTGGATGAGGCTTTGAGCAACCTGGTCTAGTGGAAGGGGGCCCTGCCCATGGCAGGGGGGTTGGAACTAGATGATCTTTAAGGTCCCTTCCAACCCAAACCATTCCGTGATTCTATGATTCTATGATCTAGGAAAGAGCAACTGTCAGGACAAACTTAGCCCTGGTATGCAGTAATATTAAAGAATGTAAAAACAGTTGACTTTTTTATATGATTCTATGATTCTATGACTTGATTTAGGTTAATATTTAATGTTAAACTCCTTAATGCATTGCCAAAGTGGATGAGCAAAGAAGACAAGCCCAGATTTTGGGTCAGTGAACTACAACAGCTTTATTGGACTTAGGCCAGCTTTGGATAGGCAGCCTACATGGCCTGCACTAAGGCCTCTCATCAGCACTACATCGCTTCTGCACAAAGGAGACTTGCCCCCAAATACTCAATGGCTTTTTTAAATGTCCTAGATTGAGGAAAGCAGATTATCAGATTACTAGGTCACAGAAAGTCCATCTGGGAAGTAAGAAAGAAAAATACACATATGCTCACACCTCTAATATATGTCTGTGTGTTTTAATTTTAGCTCACAGTAATTTATATAACTTGATTTAATCATGATTCCAAACATCAGATTTGAAATTCCACCTTTTACAGTCACCCTTTACCACCACAGTGGAGTTGCTTTAGGAGCGGACCATGACAGCTGCTTGCAGTCAGAGACAGAGTACACCCTATTTTGTGGTTGGTTTTTTTTTTTTTTTAAGAGTGGAAATGAAAACCAATTTCTCAGCTGAAAACATCAATAAAATTTAAGTAGATAGAATGTAAATACCAGAACTGGAGCTTGGAGACAAGTGGAGAGATAATAAACACACTCTTGTTGTTGGAATAGCTGCACTTGGAGCCCAGCGATGACTTGGCCAGACCTGCTGAGCACAGAAGAGGCAGAGGAAGGCGGGGCTGCCCCGTGCAGAGATGATGACAGACCACAACACACAGCCTGTGACAGTCCTGCCTGGAGGGGAGGGCTCCCCACTGCCCACAGCGGGCAGCAGCTCCGCACACGCTCACCTGACACAGCTGGGGCACCCCCAAGGGACTGCTCCCCACTCTGCCACCCTGTCCTACCCATCTGGCAGCATCTGCTTCCCACCAAGACCATGCCTTACGTGGGTAGCCTGAAGAAGCCAGGAACTTGCATTCATTTCCTTCTTTTCCATGGCTACTCAGTCCCATTATAATCCAGCCTTCAGCGAGTAATACTTTACAATTGGACAAGGAGTAATTATTATCTACAGAAGCAGAATACCTTTTTGCCCTCTTTCTGAGTAGAAAGGTTCTGAGGTTTTGCATTTGGATCTGTCACCACATTCCCTTGTTTTAAAGTATCTAAATCAGGTGCCAACCAATCCTGACCTTAGTTGATCTGAGGAAGGGAGGAAAGATTTACAGCAAGTCATGCTCCCCTTCCTCATGGCAACAGGGGGAGAAAGAACAGAAACCACCACAGATGCATCCCTTACACATACTTGGGCTGCTTAAGCTACAATCATTGCCCTTTCTTCTCCAAACATTTCCTCTGCCATTTCACAAAGGGGGCTTACTTTTGAACATGGATTAAATCAAGGCCTACTTTCAACTTCAGTTAGTAGATGCATATCTACTTAATGGCATGCAGAGACTCACTTCTTCTAGAGGAGATTTACTGTGTCCCAGAATCACAGACTGGTTTGGGTTGGAAGGGACCTTAAAGATCATCTAGTTCCAACCCCTCTGCCATGGGCAGGGACACCTTCCACTAGACCAGGTTGCTCCAAGCCTCATCCAGCCTGGCCTTGAACGCTTCCAGGGATGGGACATCCACAGCTTCTCTGGGCAACCTGTTCCAGTGCTTCACCACCCTCTCTGGGAAGAATTTCTACCTGATATCTAATCTAAACCTCCCCACTTTCAATTTAAACCCATAAAAATATCTCCTCATGAACAAAATGGGAAGAATTAAGCAGGAACAGCTCTATGTGCAAATAACTCCTAGAAAAGTTTACTTTAGCACTTAAGTATAGTAGAAAGTTGATGTACTTAGCATATACAAAAGGTCAATACAGTACAAGCCACATTACTTCCCATATGCCCATATCCCCAGCAAAGGAAACTTAGACAGCTCTACATTGGTTTTGGCTTGATCTACTTTACCCTCTCCCTTGTGCCTCAAAAATATTACATCTGGTGGATCACCATTATTGACAAGTTCTGGATATATATTTTGGAAGAAAGACTCCCAAATGCATGACTCCTACATTTACAGGCCTCTTGGAGCCTACCCACAAGCTGCAGCATGACACACCATGTTTGATAAGCATCTTGGTGGTTAATGAAGCAGTAGATCTTTTAGACAGTCTAACTAGCTCACCTGTTGTGACAGTCTATGTAAATAGCCAACACAGTCCTCAGAAACCGATTAGTCTAATACATTTTACTGAGATCTAAGGTGGTAAGAAACTTAAGTCCAACTTTCAGAATAAATCAGAGACACTGTTAGGTTAAGTCTAAAAGTGAATGCTGCCAGCATCTCCTTTTCTTCGCTTCTTACATGTTTTCAAAACACAACTGTGGGCAGTTATTTCCCTGGAAGCTTGCTGAAAATATACACAGTAAAATCAATTTAGTGTACCCATGTAAGTTATGCAAGTAATTCTCCTATCACAGGGTTTACTCAGTGCTGCCAGTGTTTAAAGAGATAGGGATCCAAAGCAATGTAGAAAAAACCAGCTCTGCCAAGGGATTTAGTGGTGTTGCACACAGCAAATATATTCAGTTTTAAGGGAGGGACTTGAGCAGGTGTGTGTTACTGATCACTATTCAGCCTTTATCTCATAGGCAAAACAGATTGTAATACACTGTAAGAGCATAAAATCAGAAAAGCAAAAAAAGTGTATTTTTAAAATCCCTTGAATCTCTGGATCTAAGCTAGTAGCATGCTATCGGTGCCCGGGATCAGGTTTCTCAGAGCGGTTTACAGCAGACGGATGGAGTACCAGGCCTTGGTGGAGCCACAGAACATGCATTGTGAACAGTAACCTTAAGCTCGCAGGAAAGATAACGTGTAAAAAAGCACCATTGTTTTCTTAACGCTGTGCCATGTCAACGGGAAACAGAAAAGAACCTGGGTACACTGCAGCCCCCTTAACTGTCGAGAATTTTCTTTCCTGCTTTTGTCTTTTCAAGTAATATGAACCACACAAAACCATTAGGTAATCGCTGAACAAAATTTTGGAGGGCTGAGCACCACCCACCAGGAAGAGGTGAGTAATTGCCCTTCCCTTCATCATCCCGGCGTGTTACAGAACCGCTGCGTAACCGTCCCACGGCCTGCCGCGCACGCCTGGTGCAGAGACACGGCACGGCTGAGGGAATGCAGTGTCCTACACGTGATGGTCCCGGCGTCTTACCACGCACACAGAGGCTGACAAAGCACCCGTTTCCTTCCCCCATGGCATGCAGACGTGTCGCAGCATGCTCCACATGATGATTCTGTTTGCTGCCCTTGTGCAGGCTGTGGCAGTAGCCATTCAACCAGGTATTTCAGTCAGCCAAGCAGGCCGACTTACTCAGGAAAAAAAACGGAGTGCTGCTGAGGAGCTCTCCTTTTTTCAACTCCCACACACTGTTTAACTGTGAAATACCTTGGCTATTTCTGCGTTTTCTGCTACCATGAAAGTGAAGCTGATGTTCACCAGATCCGTGCCACTGCAGACACACACTATCCGTCCTTCCAGCTCGTTTTCTGATTTTCCAACAGCCTCGAGTGCAGTTAGTATTTTGGGATCCTGTTAGACAGAATAAGTAACTTGTTACATTTGCAATACTTGTGGCCTGCAATGCACTACGGTAAAGATGCATTTCCATCTCCATATACACGAACCTTTGCCAATCATCTTAAATGAGTGCTTTCACTCAGAATTATTGGGTGTAAACCTGAAAAACAATATAGTCTAACAATAGGAGCATGACTGGGAGAACTCAGCAGTAAATGAATTATTGTAAATATATTTTAGAAAGTTAAATTAGAAATTACGTGTATCTTCATCACAAAAAAAAAAAAGAAAAAAAGAAAAAAAAATTAATCACTCCAAGGACTGGAAACAGAGGAACAGTATTAATCTCTTAAGTAAATTTTTCCAATGTAGCAAAGTCCATAGTTATGGAGAGTTACATTCTGTGACACTTTTTGGCTGTTTGTTAACGACACGATGAACCGGCTGGTGTCTCTGCTGAGGGTCAAGCGGCATGAAGAACAATTTACCTATATAAAGACAGAGGTGAAGTCTGAAGCATATTGGTATGGCTGTCGGCACATGAAGCATGGGGTTGTCTGCACCACCACTTCTCATGCCCCTTTATCTAGGGGGTAAAGATTTTAGTCTATGGATTCTTCCCAAGAGATAGTTACTTATAGTTAGCACCGAAACAACACGTGAAAGTGGAAATGCAGAGGTGTTAACGGATACCTTACTTCACAGCAAACCTTCTAAACTAAAGGGCTGGAGGAGGGAGGAACCACAATTCAGAAGATTTGACTTAGTCCTTCTGAAGAATACCACTGAAAGTATTTCCAAAGTTCTGGGTTTCTCCAGAACTCCTAGCTAGTATTTCTGTTGATACCCTTCAAAATGGCAGGCAGTGATCAGCTGCCCTCTCTGACTACCTAACTGTGTAAAGAGGGATGCAAACAAAACTTTCTACACTTTATGTCAAGATACAACAATTTTTAAACAGATAGGAACAAAATCTGGAATATGAAACCTTTTTTTCCAGATCCCTACAACCAGTATCACAATACGCTGCTACAAAATAAAGAAAAACTCGTGATATGTGCTCCTGATGCCTGTTGCTCAGCTTTCACCACATCCTGAAAGCTGAGCACTGTGTACTACACCAGAAAGACCAGATGACAGAACCTTCCCCCGGCAATCACACCAAATTACTTGACTTTAAAACTTAAAATTTTACACTGTGACTGCAAATTAAAAGCTGTGTTGCTGGTGGTTTTTTTTAAGAAATGAACCCCATCCTGCATTTCACCTTCAGTTTAAATATCCTTTGTTTAAATGAAGAGCATAAACCAGTTGTAGAGTACCTTTGGTACAGCTCCAAAACGAACACTGTTGATCAGGGAGCATTCTAATACCTGTCCTTCCTGAAACGGCAAAAAAAGGTACAAGTTCAAAGGTCTGTTGACACATGGCTCCATTAGGAAATGCAGCAAAATTAAACAATAATCTCATTTGCCAACACTATTAATCAAAACTAAACAGTGTATTTTCCTTTTATATAATTTAATTCCCTCTTAAATACTTAACTTCCATCAATTCTAAAATAATAGGACTAAGGCTATTTCTGTAAATAAACTGACACCGTATTTTAGATTTTGAAAAAAACAGCCAGAATATAAACCAAGTGCAATAATTCCTAATACATATTCCTGACATAATCGTAATATACCTTTCCTTCACTTTTCCAGCTCAGAAAAAAGCCAAATTCATCCACTTGGAAGAGACAGTTGCTTTCAAAGACAAAAGATTCCTATAGAAAAGAAAATACAGACCATTAATTTAGTTGGCTTGGCAAATGTCATATATTTATTTATTGGTCAGCAACAAAAGATGGTTACATTTCTCCCTAAATACCTTTTGGGAGATTTTGCTGTTCCCAAAGCAGAGTTGAGGGAGGCAGGCTTTTAATATACAATAATTTTTAATGATCTGATTTTTTGCTGCCATTTGAAACGTTGGGATGCACGTAATTGATATTTTCCTACTTCTTTGCAAGTATGAAGATTAGTTTTGTTTATAATAAAAGCAGCGATTCCTACCTAATGGAAAACCTTAATGAAATGGTACTTCAAAAAGATTACTGAAAATTAAATGCTTCAAACTACGTGAAGGTTAAAAATATGTAATTTGCCAATACTACCTTCAGGATTAAATGACCACGTTTTGTTTTAACATTCAGAATTGGGAAAGAACTTGTCTGTTAGACTATGACAGTATGCATGCTGCAAGCATTCTGGAGTTAGAGTATCTGGCAAGCAGAGTTTGAAGGATATTGATTTGGGGAGAGGGGGTGGGGGGAAAAAACCAACATACCAAAGAGACTAGACAAAGGAGAAAATCAGTTGAATTAAAAAAGAAATTTCCTCCACACACCTCCAGCCTCAATTAATACATCATAAATTAAGCTAAAATGCAGGATAACACTGTGCAGAATCAATCGCTTCTGAAAGAAAAAATGAATCCCGTCTTTCCTGACTTCCTTAATTGAAACCCAACAAGCGTGAGCGCAGGCTACTGCTTACTGTTTCAGGGACCAGTGCTTTGTCCTGCGCTGGAGACCGAGGCACTTTTCTGAAACGCCGCGTCCTCTCCTCCGCATAGAGCAAGGGCAGCAGGCACACGAATATACACACAACTGTTTTCAGTCTGGCATACAGGACAATTTGAGTTTAGGTAACAAAACCAGGTAAAAACGCCAACGCTCTCAATCCATGGAGCATGCCTCAAAGTCAGGAAGTCTATCCAGGAGAGTCTGTCCTCACTGGGTTACTCTGAGGCAGCCTCCCAGCCTGACACAGGATGCCAGACGTTGCAGGGTAGCTACAGGTGCCTTTTTGGCCTCTGCCATGGAACCAGGGCTAAGGAATTCCAGCTCTGGAGCCCTCAGCACAAGAAAGACATGGATCTGCTGGAGCGGGTCCAGAGGAGTGCCACAGAAATGATCAGGGGCTGGAACACCTCTCCTGTGAAGAGAGGCTGAGAGAGTTGGGGCTGTTCAGCCTGGAGAAGAGAAGGCTCCAGGGAGACCTTATTGCGGCCTTTCAGTACTTAAAGGCGGCCTATAATAATGAAGGGGCTGGAACTGCTCTCCTGTGAAGAGAGGCTGAGAGAGTTGGGGCTGTTCAGCCTGGAGAAGAGAAGGCTCCAGGGAGACCTTATTGCGGCCTTTCAGTACTTAAAGGCGGCCTATAATAATGATGGGGGCAAACTTTTAAATAGGGCCTGTAGTGACAGCACAAGGGGTGATGGTTTTAAGCTCAAAGAGGGCAGATTTAGACATTAGGAAGAATTTTTTTACAGTGAGGGTGGTGAAACACTGGAATAGGTTACCCAGAGACGTGGCAGATGACCCATCCTTGGAAACATTCAAGGTCAGGCTGGACAGGGCTCTGAGCAACCTGGTCTAGTGGAAGGTGTCCCTGCTCATTGCAGGGGGTTGCGCTAGATGACCTTTACAGGTCCCCTCCAACCCAAACCATTCTGTGAATGGTCACATTCCAGTCAGGTCTTATCCTGGCTTGACACTGGGCATGAAGGCAAGCAAGTCCCTGGATCCACAGTTGGGTAATGTCCTTGAGATCTCCTAGATAAGCACAGCCAAAGGGGATACGCTGTGTTTGGGATAACTGCTCCCTTTCCCTGGACACAATTATCAAATGGCGTCTACCACTTCTGGACAGCATCAAACAAGTCCTCAAATGACATTTACAGGTTTTAAGGACTGACAAAGTACAGTTTTCCACCCAAATAGCAAACAAATATGCTAATTTAACAGGCAGGGGAGCTGAGATAGAAAATATAAAGTTGTTGCAGCTCAGTCTGAGCCGACACCTTTATGCAAAAGAGTTTCCAGCATGGACTGCTCTGCCCATCTTTGTTCACTATAACTTCTATTTTCCTGCCTTCACCCTAGCACTCATCCCTCCTGAAACCTACTTCTTGCCAGTCACCTCAGATTTACTAATTTTGCAGCCCTTGGAGTCCTATTTCATATAAAAATGCAGGTAGCTACCAATCAAAATGAGTGTCTGTGGCTTTTCCCAGAAAGATTACTCACACAATAAAAGGCAGGCAATTTTTTGCCATTTGTTGTGTTCCCGTCTATTAAAAAGCTCTGGATATACCAAAAATGTTGTTTTCACAAAGGCACCTATGTAAACTGCATTCACGTTGATGTTCCACCCTAGCCTTGACTCTATTCAACAAATTACTTTTTCCACAATTTGTCTTCTTTGGTTAAAAAAGCACCTACCATCAGACCATGCAGATGCAACATGACCAGAAAGATTTCTGATCATGTTTGATTTTTTTTTCCCATATTCTGCTGCGATAACTCTCTTCTAGACTCAGACTTTTCAGCAGTCAAACGTGATAATGCTTGGCTCAAAATATAGTTCTGTATTTTTGTTATCCTTCTGGTTGAGGTACTCATCTATCAGCAAAAGATGGATGAAGACACTGTTCCACATGACGATGACACTATTTTCCTAGCCAGTCAATGAACGTTGGGCACTTAAAAGACCTCTCACACTGTACTAGAGCTGTTCAGTCACCTAGAGCCTGCACCAGGATTCCTGAGCCCCAGTTCTGACCAGACCTGCTGTATGACCTCAGTTCACTTACCATTTCTCTTTGCCCCAGCATGACCTTTCTCTTCGGGTGTGGAATTAAGCACAGAATTTCCACAAAAATTAGAAGCCTAGATCTGAATCATTTTTCTTGAAAACTGCAAGCTCTACAGTATAGGGATTGGATCTTCTTATGCTTGCATAGCATTTCTAAACCAATGATCTCTCTCAGGTAGGCTATCTAACTACTACCACACCACAAATAATAGTCTATGTATGTAATAAATTTGTTAATATCAGACAGCAGCACCATCAAGTGCTCGCTGTTTAGAGGCTACAGATCTTAATTTCTGAGTCACTGGGTTTTTTTACAGCCCTTGACGATTCCTGTAAAGCAGCAGATAAAATTAGTTACCTAAGTGGAATCCTCCCAATGTTTCCAGGAGAGTCGCCTTCAGTAAAACAAACCAGGCTTCCATCTGTACCACAGCAAACCTGGAGTAGACTAGCATTGCTTGCTGCAAGCAATGCAGCTGGAGAATATCACGTGGATGGAGAAGCAGCATTTTGCTCCCCAGGTGGCAAGTAGGAACCCCCTTCTACAAGGTTTTGGAAGGCAGCAAACTCAGCTGCCAGGAGCAAGACTTCTGGTGCCACCATCTCACCCCACGTCTGCCCCACATTGTCTAGCCTCGCACACGTGCCTGCTGGGTACACCGACCTACAGTGCAAAGTACTATTTTTGGAGATGTCTCATTCTCCCTACCACTACGTCAAGGACCCAGCTGCCTCACCGAGAATTCCTGATCTCACCCCAAAATTTGAGCACTAAAACTCTTTTCAGTATCTATCCATTCTCTATTTCTCAGCTAAGGTGCAAGAGAACGACCACGGTCCATATGTCCTCACTTGGATCCTCACAGCCTGAGTTTCTGCAGCGGTAATTATTGAAGGAAAATAGAGCTTTTATGAACCTCCTTTCTAAGGAATGCAATGTCCACTAGTATCTTCTTAGTTTATCTGTCCCCAAAATTGAAAACACAAGGTAAAACAGCTAACCCTATCTTGGCAGTCCTCACGATAAAAATACTGTTTACTTACATTTCAAAAGATAAGAGGAAAACACTAATATCCCTGAAGGCACTTACTGAGATACCTTCAACTTTCAGAGACTTCCTGTCCAAAAAAGATAAAATTATTCTCACAGCCATATCAATGCTGAGTATAAGGTATCTCAGCACTTTATTTTGTCTGTCTGTGTAAAATGCCCTGGTTTGCATTCCTTTAATGGGTTTGGATTAAAGTTCATCTGAAAGCAGCATCATAGTAATCATATTTCAGATAGAGTACAGGTTGATTTTTCTAAATGAGATAAAACCACTTCAGCTCTCAAATGATGCATTGGAATCAGAATATAATAAATGTCTTGTGGTCTTACTTTCCCTTGTGAGATGGAAGTCCTCAGTTTATATATATATATATAAACCCAACCAACCAACCAACACAACCACATATTTCCCCTCCCCTATTTGATAAATGTACAAAAATTCATTTTGTTCAGTAACATGCTTTATGAATCTACAAGGATGAGAGCTTTATGCACATTACAGACATTTTGATCCAAATCCCCCTTTCTCTTGCTCAGGGATTATTTGTAATCAGAGGGATTAAATATATTTTCCAAGTTATTTCTTGTAAAAGTAAAAATTTGTACAGCAATGAAGTGTGTTGGTATTTCTTCCCCACACACATTTCTGAAGTTATCTGGAAGTTTATGTACAACGAAAGCAAAACATGAAATGTTCTGTAACAGCTACATATTTAAAAGAGAATAGCAGATGAAATGCAACTGGCCTCTTACCTCTTCATATCTGTCAAACACAGCTCCATCTTGCATAAAGGAAGGAACTGGCTTCTGCCAGTTAAATTCATAAGGTTTTGCCATGACTATAGAAGAAAAACCTGAAATGGAAAGAAAAAACAGAGTTCAATTACTGTCTTTAAAAAGAGCATATCAAAGTCTAAGTAGGAAAAAAAAAAAGTGACTTTTAGCTTTTCCTTTCACAGGTAAGTATTGAAAAGTCACAGTGCATTTCCATAGCAAGTTTTCCTCATAAAAGTATTTTTGCTTCATAACTGTAAAATAAGAAATACTTGTAAAATGTGTGCTGAACTTAATTATTTAAAAAAAAAACACCTGCACTGTAATGCTACTTTTGTTTAAGTATCTGACACATCACTCCTAGAGTATAATGAGGCTGGGATTAACACAGCCCTAGGTGACACAGAATACCACAACCTGTAACATATCTAAGTGCTTCTTTTATTACAGGAAATCATCAGATCCTACAGATTTATTTTTTTTAACATTCTAAATTGTTAGGCAAATTAAACATAGGCAAAACACCTGTTTCCCTTGTGTTTTGTGTTTCAAAATCCATTTATATTAAATAAAGTCCTGGGTATTTTCAATGGCATTTTATACATAAGATATGGATAATACATAGGTCAAAATTCATAGGGAAAAAAAAGCTGGTTAGGGATATAGGGCATTAAAGAAAATTAGCTAGTAGCACTGTGCATTACTGCAGGTTTGGGAATGTGATCTAAACTATTAATTTAGAATTAGTATTAATTTAGTATCCTTCCCAGCACCTCGACGCCTTCTAGGTGACGCTGCTTTACACCAGAAAACGTCCCAACCACATAGAACAAACTTCAGTATTTCAGAGTGTCTGAAGTAAAGTGCATCTGTGTTGTTCCTGCTTACTAATGCCATCCAGGACACACGGTATCTTGGTTATTTCTTTACACCTGGACCAGAAAGTCTTGCATGAGAGAAATACACTTGGCAGCAGCAAGATAAGACTGACCCACAGATGTCAGCAAATCATTCTGTCAAACAGTATATTGAGGATGAACACAGCACAGGTCTAAGTGTGAAAAATAAGAAGCATACGTAAAATTCATGCAAACCACCTCTGTAGTGTTTCTGTATGCCAAAACTCTGGATAACAGACTACATTACCAATTAGGTAACAACGTGTCCACAGTGTTCTTAGACGGGATAATCTACTTCGAACTTTAAACCCTATTCTGGGCTTATCTTCTATAATGGTAGATCTGGTAAATTCATTCCGATGCAAGTGTTTAAAAAAAACAATTAAGAATTTTGCAGTATACCTCGTCCTCTGTCTTACTTCCATTTGTATCAAAAATGCTCTAACAAGAAGAACTCAGAGGATACTGTTAAAAGACTCTGCCCAACACCAGCTTTAAAAACAGTTGCTTTTGATAGTTTTCTACTGGAAAAAAAATCTCTTTACTACTAAAAAAATGCAAAATACATTTTGATGCTGCTCATCTCTATCTCCTGCTCTTCTTTGCTCACTGATACAGGCATATAAAAAATACTTATCACATTTCCACAGCCTTAGGAATAAGATAAATTAACCCATTCTCCGTAACTATCAAAAATACAATTTGAGAGTTTTTTGTGTGTATGTATATATATCACCATTAAGTGTTCACTGTTGAAAATGGGATGAAAACTCAAAATAACATATCTGTACTTTCCAATTAAATAAAAAGATTCTGAACAATATTTACGACTACCCATCTGTACTTCTTCCCCCTCCCCCGATGTAGAGATGCTTTGAAGAAAATAGGGGACAAGGAAAAGTGGGGCAAAGAAGCGATCAGCTACATTTAGTATCTTATCAAAAGCCCCCTTTTCTTTTGGCCAGCCCTCTGCATTGGGCTCTTACCACTCTTCAAAAGAGTAACAGTATCTTCCCCGTGAGGACCATGAGCTGTTCTGAGGTCCTTTCAGAGAATGTGCCAGATTATTGAATTTATTTTCTTTTTTCAAAATACACTTAGAATTTGAGGGTCTCTTCCCATTTAGATCAGCATAGCACTACTTTTTCCTCATTCCCTGCAGGAAGCTGCATAAGAGGACAGCCATCCAACTGCAGTAGCGTGATGGCATCTCATTCTAAACAGCTCACAGACTTCATGCAGGAGCTCAGTATAATCACACCACCTTGAAAGCGTAGTGCTTGTTCTTACAGTAAAGCTACATTTAGAGAGAAATGCAGCTTCAGAAAGCTGTTTTCTGATTACACAGGCTTTGCTAACGCAAAGTTGAAACCAGAACCAACAAAACCCTCAAAGGTCTTGGAAAAATAGGTTTTAATGGGAACTTAAAATATACTCACCTGAAGTTATAAACAATTCGGGGTTTTATGGCATATTGACCATTCCCTTATCTGTTTAAATGACCTACTGTCAGACTTTTCCCAAGAAGGAAAGCTACTTCAAATACGACAGGTAGTTCATGGAGCAATACATGCTGCCAGCATGCGAAGTCCTTCTGGGAAAAGCAGATGCATTCTGTGCTAAATTGTAAGAAGTGCAATGACACTTTTAAGACTGTGAAGAACACTCTTCCACAGTCCCTGGCCTATATACCTGGCCTTTACCCTCTTTTACTAATGTCAAACCTATTACAGCCACAGATTTTAAAACTTACAAGCTCTACAACTGCTCTGAACTCCTGTGTAAGATGCATCATGACATTCCGTCCAGCATCTGGCACTCTGAATCCTGGATGTAAAGAGTGCTTGAACAGACACTTGTCTTTCAGAAAGACTAATTACCTTAGCACTACAAAAATGCACATTATAACCAACTTGAACTTTGCCAAGTTAGTCAACCAGTCACAGAAATACAGCTCTGTAAAAAAACCCTCCTTTGCAGATATCTTCTCCTTGTCTGGGTACTCACACAGTATGATGAAGTTTTCTTGTTACTTCATCACTGATAAATTAAACAGCTCGAGCTCTTCAGTTTCTGCTGCAATGCACATGTTTGAAATCTTGGTGTCAGCCTGTGCCCTCCCCACTTTTCCAGCTGCCTTTCTGAAGTCAGGGGTCTGGACTAGGACACAGTACCCCAGCACAGTCCTCTGTCACACAAACCAGAATTAGCCTTTCTTCTTATTTGCATAACCTTGCATTTAGCTGCAAGAAAACATGCTTGATTGCTCATAATTTATCAAGCAATCAAGTTCGTTCTCAGGGACTCAAGCTCTTCGTTATTTACCATCTTACCAATCTCTTTGCTAGCTCTGCTCTCTCACAGGTCAATACAGTTTACAGATGAACTGAGACAGATGAAGTGTGAGGGAAAGATGGCTTGAGTACATGTAGCAAGGAGGCAGATGAATTGTAACAAACAAGATTTTTAAGCCATATGCTTTGGCAGGAGTGCAGAAGGTGAAGAAAATTCTCTCTGCCTTCAGAAAAGCTCTTTTCAGTCTCTCACATTTCATGCACTGTTCTCAAAAATCCATTCTCCCATAACCCTGTTAGCTTTTAAGATCACCAAAATAAAATGTATAATATTCCCCTGTCATCCTTTGGAGCTCTGTTAATCTTCAGTGTATTTTTAAGCTGCTCAAAGAAAGTAAAAAATAAAAACAACCCCACCCACACACCAAACTCAAGAAAACAGGACATTCTAACACTCATATGGTTGCAAATATACGTATGCATATACCCTCACTGCGATGAGAATCAAGAATTACTCTCTTCAAAGAAATTTAATAACAGTGAAATGTGTGAAGATTCAACCGGGAGAAAAAGACGACTTAGGAACTAAACTGAAAGACAGTACCATTTTAATTTTAAAACTTTTAAACAGCCTTTAAAAATTAAAATCCAAATCTTCTCACTGAATTTAGGGTTTTTAAAGTACAAAAATGCCTCTGAATACATACCGTTCACAAAAGCAGAAAGATTGTTCATATAAAATACACCCCAGGACTTAATCAATGACCACAAGGGAGAAGTAGGTGAAGCCTCTCAAGTGCTGTAGATAAATGCCTTTTGAACTACCTCCCTTTCTTTGAACACTGATTTATGCCTGAAGACTTGATTTGGATCACATGAAAAAAAGAACCTTTTGATTCACCTGGAGTACCCAGCGTGTGAGGACACAGAATTAACCATATCCAGAGCAGCATTAACACAGAAGTCTTCCTCTTTCGTAAGCTTGGCCGTACTAAGCTAAATCTGGGGGGATGGAGGGATTCTAAATCCTGTTTTTTTCATTCTTTGACCAAAAGAAGGACAAGGTGTGGCTGAACAGGAGGAGGAAAGGATTCTGTTAATACAAAGCAGACAAATGTTTGGGGAAAGAGGTGATACTCTAAACTAACCCACAGGGCTGGCTAGCATGATGGATAGGATACTCGTTGGATCCCATAAACATCCTGTCAATGTTGAGACACTGCTGGAAAGGACAGCGGTATTCGTTAGAGCTGATCCCCCCGCGGTCTAAAACACAGTAACTCTTAATTTCCGCAGCTTGATTAGCCTTGAAAATTATAACAATACTTGTAACTTTTTTTTTTTTTTAGCAATTATTATTTTTGCCTCTGGAACGAATCACCACGTGCTGAGTGAAAAGCGAGGAGGCTCCACACACTGTGGTTGCCGTTTCACCACTTACCTCCGAGTCACACCACCTAAACCTGCCCCAGTCACCGCCTGCGTGGCCTTCAAGGGTGACATATAAGCACCCACAGAACACCACGCAGAATTTAGTGGTCTTACCCAGGCATATGTGTTTTTCTTACAGACAGAAAGGAGCATTTAAAAAGGAAAACAACCAACTAATGTATTTCCCACTCTTTGAAGTACACGTAAACCTTCACCACCACTCCTCTTTGGTAAGCAAGACTCTTCGTAACAACCAGATCTACATCATCAGACCTCTACAACTTACTGGGTTTTTTTCTATGAAGGTCATCCTGGGCCAGAAAGCCTACCTGCAGTGTTGTGTACTAGAGTGAGAAGCTAGCTCTCCAAGGCTAAACCAGCAGTGCAGCACTGAAATCCTTATAAAAATGCCCCCTCCATTTTTTAATGAGGCTCTGAAGTACTTTCATA